AATGTGGATTTGCAAAGAGGCAGGCCCCCGAGGAGCTTCAGCTGAGGGGATGAAAGAAGTTACTCACTACTGACAACCCCACCCTTTGCTTTAAGGCTGCATTCTCCTTCCCTAATACATGTTGCTTGAAGTACACAATGGTTTGTGTTTAGATAAGCAATAAATGTGGGGAAAGCAAAGTTTTGTGCTTTAAAACAAGAGAGTCTGGAATCTTTGTGGGGGGAATGTCTCTTTCTCTCTCATTCTCTCTCTCTCTCTCTCTCTCTCTCTCTCTCTCTCTCTCTCTCTCTCACACACACACACACACACACACACACATTCATTCCTTCCTCCCCTCTTCCCTGGCCTGGCGAATCTTCACGCAGAAAGTTAACCCTAGCTTCTCAGAACCCACCTCACTGGAGTGGCCTCTGTATTGTTTTGGTTTATTCTCTCACACGGTTTTTTCCTAACCTCTAAACCTGTAGTCAGACATCCCCTGAGGGGTCCTGGATTGTGAGAGAAAATTAACTAGAGGCCAGGCTGAGGGACCAATCCCCCATGCAAGAATTTCATGCACCAGACCTCTAGTTTAAAATAAAAGAATATCAATGAGTTTTCATATTTTATTCTGTATTCGTCCTTTTGAGATTCCAAAGGTAAATTATGTGTTAACTGCATAGCTTAAGGAATATATCAGAGTTTTAGTTACAGTTAAGACATTACTGGCTTGAAGGAGAATTCGTTCCCCCAAATAATGATTTAAAAAAAAAAATGCCATCTGGAACTTTTGGTTAATGAGGAATAAGTGGCCTTGAAGTAAAACATCGGAAATAGGCAAAATGGTGTTTTATATAATACTAGTGGCCCTGTGCAAGAATTCGTGCACATTGAAAGAAAATTAATTAGAAGAAATAGTTTAATATCGCTATTTGCCCTTTCTCTACAATAGAAGTGTCAACCAAATTCATGATCAATAATGACAGATTGAAACACACACATGCTATTGGCACCAGTGAGAGCTTTATATGTATTGCTCATGTATGAATCAATTTAGCCTTTTATATATATACTAGAGGCCCGGTGCACAAAAATTTGTGCACTCGGGGGGAAGGGGGGTCCCTCAGCCCGGCCTGTGCCCTCTCGCAGTCTGGGACCCCTCGGGAGATAACAATCTGCTGGCTTAGGCCTGCTGCTGGGTGGCAGAGGGCAGGCCCAATCCCTAGGTGCAGCCCCTGGTTGGGCTCAGAGCAGGGCCGATTGGGGAGTTGGGGCGTCGCCCACTGTCATGCACAGAGCAGAGCGGATTGGGAAGTTGTGATGCCACCCTCAGTCATTCTCAGGGTAGGGCCAATTGGGGTGTTGGGGCACCGCCCTCTGTCACACTCAAGGCAGGGTCGATGGGGAGGTAGTGGCGCCACCCCCTGTCACTCACAGAGCAGGGCCAATCAGGGGGTTGGGGCGCCACACCCTGTCACACACAGAGCTGCAGGGCAATCAGGGGATTTGGGCGCTGCCCCCTGTCACGCTGATCTCGGTGCCGGGAGGCCTCGCGGCTCCGCTGATCCTGGTGCTGGGAGGCATATTACCCTTTTACTATATAGGATAGAGGCCTGGTGCATGGGTGGGGGCCGGCTGGTTTGCCCTGAAGGGTGTCCTGGATCAGGGTGGGGGTCCCCACTGGGGTTCCTGGCCAGTCTGGGTGAGGGGCTAAGGGCTGTTTTCAGGCTGGTGGGTGACTGAAGCTCCCAACCGCTACTTTTTTCTTTTTTTTCAAATTCGGGGCCAGCTTTAGCTCTGAGGCTTGGCTCCAGCTCTTAGGCCTCCGCTGCTGAAAGCAGGTATCTGGTTTGTTTGGGTTCTATAATCGAAACACTATTTCAACTCCAGCTCTGAGATCCTGGCTGGCTGAAAGCAGGTTTCTGGGGTTTTGTTTAGCTTCTATATTTGTAACAGTGTTTCAAACTGCAAGCTCAGAGGCCAGCAGCGGCAGGCGGGGAACGTTGGAGTCCTCTGTCACTGAAGCAAGCAAGCCTCATGTTCGCTTCAAGCTGCCTGGCTGCCGTCCGCCATCTTGGCTGGCAGTTAATTTGCATATCACCCTGATTAGCCAATGGGAAGGGTAGTGGATGTACAGCTAATTACCATGTTTTTCTTTTATTAGATAGGATACACTAGTGGCCCGGTGCATGAAATCATGCACATTAAAAAGGAATTAATTAGAGGAAATATTTTAATATTGCTATTTGCCCTTTCTCTATAATAGAAGTGTCAGAGATGAAAGAACATTAGTAAAATGTATATGAAAATCGCCCTCCTGTCCGTCTGAGGTGTGCTGTGGGACCCAGAGTCCATTCCCCACCCACCAGTGTGCACCTTGAAATCGTGTGAGACCCAGACCCAGCCAGCCCCACCCCCGTCAAGCCCCAAGGGTGGAGGGTGCAGCCTCAGTTCCCCCAGCCCAGCACTGGGCAGAGGGCACAACCTCAGGTCCCCCGTCAAGCCCCTCCGGGTGCGGGGGCGCAGCCTCAGATCTCCTGGCCCTGGCTCCAGGGTTGGGGGCATGGCCTCAGGTCCCCCAACCTCAGCGCCGGGGCAGGAGGCGCAGCCTCAGGTCCCCCAGCGCCAGAGCTGGGGGTGCGGCTCCAGGTTTCCCAGCCCGGCCTCAGGTCCCCCGGTGCAAGAGTGTGATGACCATTTGCATATTAGCTCTTTATTATATAGGATAGATAAACTTGCTTAATTAGAGCTGATTTCTGATTTAGCTAAACTTTTTCCAGCCCAGTGAAGCACCCCAACTTCTCTTTCAGGTAATTGACAGTAACACAGTGGTAAATATCAACACAAAGCTGATTATTATTGTAGATCATGCAGGGAGAACAAAGGACAAAATATTTAACTGCAGCAGTGTTTGACTATATTCTGTGCAGTGCAAAAACCTGAAGTCATTTTCAAGGTCCACCATTTCTTATTTCTTTTCAGTCCCATCAAGTTTCTAAGCTTTCTAAATCTCCATTTTCCGGCTAATGAAAAGAAAAAAGGATTCCACTGAGTCTCCTATGTACCTACTCCAGGACTTCTGTGAGGATCAAATGAGATGAAGCATGGGAAAATGCTTCACAGACATTTGGTTAAAGTGTAAAATGTTTCCACCTGTGTTCCTGGAACTTCAAGGAGGCTAGTCGCTAGGGAGAGGAAGCCGGGCATTGCTATGTGACACCATTACCTAGCACCCACAGCAACCGTTTCCAAGCTGGGCTGGGCTATGGGCTGCATTTTGCGCTATGGGATCTCAGCAGTGTTGGCTGCAATTTGGTGGGCTTTCAGTGTCGGGGCCTGTGTCCCATTTTGGGGAAGCTGAGTGTTGCTTTCTGGGTGCCAGGTCCATGGTGCCATTTCTCTATGTGCATCATGGAAGCTCCTGCATTGATTGTCTGCCCCCTGGTGATCAGTGCTTGTCATAGTGACTGGTCAGAAGGTTGGAAGGACACTTAACATATTAGCCTTTTATATAGATAGATAAAGAAATTTCTGACTATTCACTAGCAATTTTTAAATGCTCTGTGTTTTCAAAGATATCAACTAGATTTTCTCCCTGTCTTGTTGTTTGTGTGTTTGTGCGGAAACTGATGGGAAAGTATGAGAGCATGATGAAAGCTATTTTATGTTAATACTAGAGGCCCAGTGCACGAATTCGTGCACCATTGGGGTCCCTTGGCCTGGCCTGTGGGATTGGGCCAAAACCAGCCCTCTGACATCCCCCGAGGAGTCCTGAATTGCGAGAGGGCTCAGGCCTGGCTGAGGGACCCTACTGGTACATGATTGAGGCCAGGGAGAGACACAGGAGGTTGGCCAGCCAGAGATGGACTGCAGGAGGGCTCCAGGGCATGTCCGGCCCATCTCACTCAGTCCCAATTGGCCAGACCCCAGCACCAAGCTAACCTACTGGTTGGAGTATCTGCCCCCTGGTGGTCAGTGCACATCATAGCGACTGGTCGACCAGTCGACTGTCGCCTTCTGGAGGTCAGTGCACATCAGAGCAAGCAGTTGAGCAGCCTTAGCATATCATTAGCATATTATGCTTTGATTGGTTGAACGGATAACCTGTCGACCAGACACTTAGCATATTTGGCTTTTATTATATAGGATGGGGAAGGTAGGCTCATATGAATTTGTTTTAAAATACAACATAACTGTTATAGTAGGCAATTAAGAAGATATGAATAGAGTAGGAACAATAGGCCAAGTATGTCAGTAGGGCAGAAAATTTGACCTGCCTAGCAGTGGGCAAAACTGGGAAACTAAATATTGTAGGGTGGGACCTCACCCCCAGAGTGACCTTTCTTCCCCTAGCAAATGGATGGTCATGCGGTTTACACATCCTGCCCTTTTATATCACTGGTCATGTGGCTCAGACCCTCCCCTGAACTTTCCTCCCCCAGCATATTGACCTCCTTAGAGGAGGAACAAGGGAGCCAGAGAATAGCCTCATATGACTCCCATGCAAGCCCTTGCATGACCACTCCCTTAAGCATTAAGCCCTCAGGACAATGAGGTTCTGACCTGCATCAAATAATCTTAGGAACAAAGCCTCAGTCTGTTGACCACAGAGACAGAGTTTTGGTCGAACTAGAGATAACATTTAGGCCTCAATTGTGTTTCAGCTCCAGGCCCAGGAAAGCAGCAAGGCTAGGTGGGGCAGTGCCATGGCTGCCTCAGGACCAGCTGTGATGGCCAATCACCCTGCCCTGCCCTGCACTGAACAATAAGTGGACACCACGATCCTGAAGGGACGCTTGGGAAGCTCATGAATATTCTCTTGAGATCCTCCCTTATGACCTCTCCGAAAATGTCTACATTTAGACAAAAACTCTTAAGATGAAGGACCTAGTGAATCTCTCTCTCTCTCTCTCTCTCTCTCTCTCTCTCTCTCTCTCTCTCTTTCGTCTCTCTCTCTCGCAGTGGTCGCCAATTGGTGGTCCTCAGACCACTGGTGGCTCCTGAGGTCCGAAAGGTTGGCGATGGCTGCTCTAGAGCTAGTCGGTGCCATTCCCCCTCTCCTTTCGTCAGGCAGGTATATCCTTGCTTTCTTTCTCCGAAGCTCCAAGGGCCCTTCTTTTGCTCTGTAACTTGAGTCCTGAATCCATGCAGACCAGCTGGCTCTCTTCTACCTCTGTGACTTTCTACATAAATTTTCTCTTATAATTTGAGTTCTTGGCTATAAATTTTTTCTCAGCTGATCTCAAGAACTGAGATCTAACATCTGGTGCTGTTTGGCCACTAACAAAACCAGGCATATTAAAATCATTGGTGTTCTGTGATCTTAAAAATGCTACGGTTACTTCCAACTAGTTACAGCGACTGGGATTAGTTTTACTTTCAAAGGACTGTCCTAACATAGCTTGGGCTGTTTCCAAATTTGGTTATTGTTATATTGTTGGACTCTTTGAAAATCAATAAATACTTTTAAAATAAATGAATACTTCTAAAGTGTTTTAAAGTTAATTCTCTAGAGCAGTGGTTCTCAACCTTGGCTGCACTTTAGAATCACCTGGGAGTCTTTTTAAAAATCCCGATTTCTGGGCCTCATCCTCCAGAAATTCTGTTTCTTTGTTATTAATGTTGTGGCCCCACCCCATAACAAAGAAACAGAATTTCCAGAGGATGAGGCCCAGAAATCAGGATTTTAAAAAAATTCCCAGGTGATTCTAATGTGCAGCCAAGGTTGAGAACCACTGCTCTAGAGGTTCTCAAAAATTTCCTGTCATCTCTCTGATAGCACAGTAGATAAATTTTAATTTGTGTCAGTTATCTTCCAGTTGTAATTGATTTTAAATAGTCAAACACTTGTTGAACTCCTAATTTGCCCTAGATTCTGTGCTCAGCTGCTAGAGGTAGAAGAGGAGTACAAGTCCTGCCTTCCCTAGAGAAGCTCACTTTTTATGAGGGAGATGCCCTGGAAGCAGCTGAGACCACTTAACAAGTAGTGTCTAGGGCAGCCGTGGGCAAACTACGGCCCGAGGGCCGAATCCGGCCCGTTTGAAATGAATAAAACTAAAAAAACAAAAGACCGTACCCTTTTATGTAATGATGTTTACTTTGAATTTATATTAGTTCACACAAACACTCCATCCATGCTTTTGTTCCGGCCCTCCGGTCCAGTTTAAGAACCCATTGTGGCCCTTGAGTCAAAAAGTTTGCCCACCCCTGGTCTAGGGTGTGTGAATGCAGAGAAAGGGAGAATCTGCTGGCAAATGTATCCCGGAGATAGGTGGGAAGTGGGACGTTAACTTGCTGGAAAAAGGAGGAAGAAAAGGCCTTGTAGTCAGGGAGCAGTATGATGAGGCAGAGTCTTGATGAGTGTCAAGCAACTTAGAGAATAGAATTAATAACATAATGTGAAGTGTTCTCTGAGGTTCTCATTTGAGTAATGTAATGGTAGTCTTAATTAAACATGAAGTGAGGGTTAAATTCTCAGAGTTGTTTTACCTGTGTGTTGGATGTGAGAGAATCTTAAAAAGATACTCTTAAGGTAAGGAAACTGAGGCCCAGAGAGAATTCTGGCCCCCACGCTTGTTAGCCATAGGCCAGCCCCAGCACACACCTCTGATGCAAATACATGTGTTTTGTCACACTGTCTCCTGAACTAATAGTTATTATTGGCTTTCATTTACTTCAATAAAATGCTCTTCAATATTATTATTTTTTAAAATATATTTTATTGATTTTTTTACAGAGGGGAAGGGAGAGGGATAGAGAGTTAGAAACATCGATCAGCTGCCTCCTGCACACCCCTTACTGGGATGTGCCTGCAACCAAGGTATATTCCACTGACCTGAATCGAACCTGGGACCCTTCAGTCTGCACGCCGACGCTCTATCCACTGAGCCAAAATGGTTAGGGCCTTTCAATATTATTTAAAGAATTATGTTTTAATGTAGAAAATAAAGAATAGAAATAAAAATCTGACCTGCTTTTCATTTCTTAAGAAAACAAAAAGCATTGAAGTCTTATTTTTAATGTTTTGCCTTATTATAAAGGGGATTTATCATAGATGTTTGCCAAGTTGGATTATAGGTACATCAAGGGCAGCATTTTATGGCCCCTTCCTCAGATTTCATGGTTGCAAGTTAGGGCATCTAATGGGTTTACCATAGAGCTGCACATGATATCGCACTAAAGCAGGTCATGGAGTATGAGAATAGTTGTAATGCTTAATTGTTTGACCTTTTAACCAAGGAAAAAAACCACACTTTTATAGGTTTAACTTACTGTGATATTTCCTTCTATTCCCCTTCCATTCAGGTATCTCCAGGTCACCGTAGTGAAAAGTACAGCTCATGCTCAACAATATTTTTAGATGACAGCACAATTTGCCAGCCTAATGTTAGAATCACCGTGCAATGGTGAGTACAAATAGGTAGCTCAGGGCTCAGTGACAGACCCTGTTGCTAAAAGGATCCTACCCACATGTAATTCCATCTGATTGTCCTTCTCAGTGATCGGGTTAAGAAACTGGTGTCAATTATGATTTCAGTTTCCATTTTAATCTTAGAGCGGATGGAAGAAGGGAAAGGCCGTTGGCAAATACAAAATTCCCCCCAAAAGTTTTCATATTTACTTGATGCATTACTATTGTTGAGACATTGTTAAACACCATGAAAGGAGAGATGCTTTTTATTGAATATTTCTAGAAAAAAAAAGTATTTCTTTATGAGATACAGGCTTAAAACAATGTGTACCACTTTGGAAGCTACTCTTGGAAGAAGGACTGGCTTGTCCCCTACCGGCACCAGAGTGCATCTGCTTTTACATTCAGTTTCTTTCCTGCCAGATTTTCCCCTGCTTACTTTTTTTTCTGCACTATTTCTATGTTAAAATTCACTTCTCCTTCCAGGAAAAATGTATCAAACCAGTCTTAAGGAACAACTTTTCAAGCTAATTTCTTTGTGGATAAAATGTGTTCAACTGAGATTTTAATTTTATAGATGTATTAAATATATATATGTATATATACATATATGTGTGTATGTGTGTATATATATATGTAAAACTAAATTTATAGACACTGTATCAATCCATATATAAGAAAATCACAGCAGAGAAAAATGAGAGAGGTGAAGTTTTGGAAACTTCGCCACAGTCAGGTTTATACTTAAGCGAACATAACTTCATGATGATGAAAACTATTCATTGAGTTCTGTGAGTATCACATACTCCACAATTGGAGATGCACTTTAAAAAACCTTAAGATGAAACTTTTAAGCTTATTTAAGAGCCAAAGAAAACCAAACTAGGATGTAGAGCTTCCTGAATCTCATTGGGGTGTTCAAGGAATATTATCAGTGTCTCCCTGGGGTATGAGTATTGATATTCCAGAACACAGTTTGGGAAATGCTACCTGAAAATATTAATGTTCTCATTCCTAATTGTACTTTTCAGTCCTAAAAACATAATTTGTTTATAAACTTAATTTTATTTCTGTTGTACCAGCTTTTTTTGCTAATTAAATTATCAGTAACTTCTACTTTACTTAAAAACAGCAGGTTCACAATCATAATACTATAACTTTCTTCTCTCACTTATAACAATAGTCGAGATCAAACTGTTTCTTAGCAAAAATTGAGCCCCATCTCTACCTAAAGTCCTGAACTTTGGCAGCTGTCACATAATCGTTTAGTCTTTTTTTTTCAGCCAGGACACTAAATCCATGAGTAAAAAAACCCACTTCGCTCTGCCTCTATTCCATAGCTTTTGAATCAAAGGGTTCTGATGTTGCAGTGTATAATTCAAAGGTAGTTTTAAAGATTAACTTTGCTCAGACAAGTAGGTGTTATGCTATTTTGTTCTCCAAATTAGTCTAATTTTTGGAAGTACAATAAGTTTTAATTTGTTCTCATCAAGATTTGAAAATGATCATTCAGTACATTTACTATTGATGAAATAAAGGTTTACTGAGAAAATTAATAGCACTAATTGGCTTTTAGGTATGGTTTAGAAAAAATGTTATGGGGTAGTAGTGCATTGTTCTCAATGGGGTGCATGAGACTTATTAGAATCACTTAGTAACTTTTTTCAAAATAATGTCTCTAAACAGATGTATTCCATTCCCTCTCCCCTAACACACAAGCCTTTTGATAAGCTGAGGAAGGATGGGAGGCGTATTTTATGAAGCAAAGCATACAGGGTGCTTCTGATTTTAACCCTAATTCATGTGTTCTCAAACTGCACATTACAATCACCTGAGAAGCTTTCAAAACAATCCCAAGTCGTACCCAATGCCAATTAAGTCAGATTATCTCAAGGTGGGAGAAGGCTGTTTTTAAAGCTCCTCTGATGATCCCAGTGCACAGCCACGCCTGGGAACCACACTGCCTGGTAGAGTGTAGATGGAGAACGGCTTCTCACTCTTGGTGGGACCTTGAGCAAGTCAGTTTTAAGCCTTGGTTACCTTCTCTGTAAAATGGGTGTTGAATTAAATGTCATCAAAAGTTCATTGGTTCCTTTCAGTTTATGCTTTAATTCTGTGATTTTAAAATCAATTTGACATGGCTCAGTGAGGTCTCTGTTCAATTCCCGGTCAGGTCACATGCCTGGATTGCAGGCTCGATTGCCAATGTGCGGTGTACAGGAGGCAGTTGATCAATGATTCTCTTCTAACAGTATATTCTCTAGCGTTTTGGTTTTCTTAATTTTTCTAAAAGCCAAAGAATTACAAGGTGAAAAGTGCCCAGGCTATACTGTTCTGAATAAGGATTTTGTAGCCACCGGGCAACTGGGAAGGTCTTTCCTCACCACATTTAAAAAATGTCTTCAGCCCTAGCCAGTTTGGCTCAGTGGATAGAGCATTCATCTGTGGACTGAGGGTCCTGGGTTCGATTTCGGTCAAGGGCACTTACTTGGGTTGCAGGCTCAATCTCCTGCCCTTGTTGGGGGTGTACGGGAGGCAACCAATCGATGTGTCTCTTTCACATCGATGTTTTTCTCTCTGTGTCTCTCCCCCTCCCTCCCACTCTCTCTAAAAATGGAAAAATATCCTCAGGTGAGGATTAACAACAACAAAGAGTCTTCAGACCTAACATAAAATCAATTGTTACAATTTTTTTTTCTCAGCCTGGCATTAGCAATATATTACCACATAAAGAACAGGTGAGTTTTTAAACCTGTCTTGTTATTCTAGCTAATAAACATACAAGATATAAAGTTTAGTGTTAGATTTTAACTATAGATATTATTGGAGTAAGCTATAGTGCTTTTATTACATTGTGGAAGCGAACCATTTGTTTTTGTCTTAGGACTCTTAATGCTTAAGTTATTGAGGATCCCAAAGAATATTTGTTTATGTAGGCTATATTGATATTTACTGTATTAGAAATTAAAATTGAGACTTTAGAATAAGTCCCTTATATGTTGAAACATGTCTTTTTTTATAGCACTGTTGACATTTTCAGCAGGATAATTCTTTGCTGTAGGGGGCTGCCTTGTGCATTACAGGATGCTTAGCAGCATCCCTGGCCTCTCCTCACTAGATGCCAATAGCACACTCTTCCCAGGCCACATTCTAAAACAAAAAAATGCCTCCAGCCATGGCCATATGTTTCCCCGGGAGACAAATTCATCCACTAGAGCAGTGATGGAGAACCTTTTGAGCTCTGCGTGTGAGCATTTTGAAAAACCCTAACTTAACTCTGGTGCCGTGTCACATATAGAAATTTTTTGATATTTGCAACCATAGTAAAACAAAGACTTATATTTTTGATATTTATTTTATATATTTAAATGCCATTTAACAAAGAAAAATCAACCAAAAAAATGAGTTCACGTGTCACCTCTGACACGCGTTTCATAGGTTCGCCATCACTACACTAGGGAGCCATAGCATTAACGTAACTCTTTATAAAAGATAATTATTTTCCACAACAAAAAGTTGAGTGGAAATTGTCACTTATATATATTTTTGCAAATCTCTTTATGTCTGATTTAATAGAACAGCTGATTCTCATGTATACCCTGTCTTCAATCCTCTGTGATTACTTCAGTCATCTCAATAATTCGTTTTGAAGAAACAATGTGAAGGCCCAGCCTCATGTTGCTCTATAGCTAGAAAAGGGTGTGTTTTTAAAGTCTTCAGATAATTATGGATATTCTTTGATACTGTACTAGAAGTCCACAAGCGCCGGTTTGTTAAATTAGTTACAGTGGGATTTTAAATCATATTTATGAACTTGCAGTAGGTCTCTGTTAAATTAATACTCATTCCTATATCTTTTACACTGAATGAATCTTTTTACTTGTATATAATTTATAATATTATTCATTGGTTATTTGGAAAGTATTGGTTCACAGGTCTTTATGCAGTAGTAAAGCTCACTTTTGTTAGTCAGCATCATATCAACACCAGTTTTACCAGAAAAGCCTAAGTATTGAAAAGCTGTCAAGCTCACAAAAAAGGTACAATTTCCCCCTAATATTGAGTTTTAGCTTGACAGCTTGAATTGTGTCATTGGCAACAAATAACACAAGTTATTTTCCTTGAAGTGACAGGCTCACTGTTCAGTTTTGAGAGAATGACAGTTGTATAAAGATGTTATTCAATGAAAAAAAGTAGCTCGCTCAGCTCACAACTAAGTCACAAGTGCTTTTACCTAACAAGCACATTTCAGTATGCAGAAGTGCTTAATGTATACTTACCCCTTATTCGGAATAGAAAAAGAAGAATCAGCCATTACTAATTGTTACTGCTTTATCAAAGATGTTCTTAAGTAAAGCAGAATTTGTGTTTCAACAAGAGGCAGTGAAAAATAAAATGACTACTAGTACAGTGTAGTATTCCTGCCTTGATTCGTTCTCACAAGCCATGACTTTTGCTTTTATACAATGGTTGCAAATGTCAGTGCAAATGGAGGCAATGCCTTAATATTTCTGTAAAAATAGTTTGGCCTCATGGGTCTCCTGAAATGGTCTAAGATAGTGGTCAGCAAACTCATTAGTCAACAGAGCCAAATATCAACAGTACAACGATTGAAATTTCTTTTGAGAGCCAAATTTTTTAAACTTAAACTATATAGGTAGGTACATTGTTATTAACTTAATTAGGGTACTCCTAAGGCTTAGGAAGAGCCACACTCAAGGGGCCAAAGAGCTGCATGCGGCTCACGAGCCGCAGTTTGCCGACCACTGGTCTAAGAGAACCCCACAGGCCTGCAAAACACACTTGGAGAACCACTGTGTAAATGAGCAGAGTATGTTAGTGTGAAAAATTAAACTTAAAAGAAGAAGAAGAAGACTGGTTGCCCTGGCCTGCGTGGCTTCAGTTGGTTGGGAGCATCATCCCATACACCAAAAAGTGGCGGGAGTGTTTGATTACTGGTCAGGGCCATACATCAAAAGGTGGCAGGTTAGATCCCCAGTTGGATGCTTGCAGGAGACAGCCAACCAATGTTTCTCCCTCCCCCTTCCTCTCTCCCTCCCTATCCTCTCCTCTCCCTTTCTTCTTCTCCTCCCTTTCTTCCTCTCCTTCCTTCTTCCTCTCCCTTTCTTCCTCTTCCTTTCTTCCTCTCTGTCTCTCTCTCCCTTCCTCTCTAAAATCAATGGTCTGGTCACTTTTAAAATACAGAGGCAAATTTTTAACTCAGTCTACTTAAAAGTGGCAAGAAGAAATACATAATAATATAGGAAACTAAAAAGAGAAAAAAACAGAAAAAATGAATCTCATATTCACATGAATGGTTGCCTACCCCTCCTGCTTTATAAAATGTTCCTGTGTCTTCCGATGTGAGCTTAGAGGAGTGGGCAATTAATTTGGTTGTCTAGCATTGCCTATTAGGGAAGGTCAATGCTTATAAAGGCAACTCTGGCTGGTCATTGTAGAAAAAATTTCACAGAATTTGATGTGCTGAGTAAAAAGAGGTCAGAAAATTCCTACAGGATCTAAGAGAAGAATTTGTAGAAGGACTTTCTTTGTTGAAGGTTAAGCTCCCTCCACCCCTCTCTCTACTCCCAGCAGATGTGTTACTAAGATAGTAACAATTCCTGGATTTGTTTCTTAAATCACTTTCTTATTTTTTAGAGATGCAAATAGATCTGAGGACATTTTTGATGAAAGGTTACATCCATTTACAGTAAGTGCCAGTTGTATTAAAGTTATATTTCTCTCTCTTACAATTGTGTTTATTTTATGCTAATTTGCTTTGAAATTAATCACTAGAAGAAAATTACTCCCTCCAGCGTGAAGTCAAAATTATCTTCCTTTAAGTTTTCTTCCCCACCCCATGTTGCATCTAATGATTTTACAAAACAAATATATAAGAAATATGTCAGCAAGAACTGAGTTGTAGCTTTGTATAACTAGTAAGCTAAAGTAAGTCAACATGCTCCTCCCAAAAAAGTATCTTTTTAAAAGATAATTTTCAGTAAAATCAAACAATATGAATATTTGTAAATAAACCTAACAGATATTTTAAGATCTCTATGAAGAAAATTAAACAGCTATTTAAACTTTGGGTTAATTAGAATGACAAAAGAATTTCAAATTCACTTCTTCAGATGCTCTATAGCAGCGGTTCTCAACCTGTGGTTCGCGACCCCTTTGGGGGTCGAATGACCCTTTCACAGGGGTCGCCTAAGACCATCGGAAAACACATATATAATTACATATTGTTTTTGTGTTTAATCACTATGATTTAATTATGTTCAATTTGTAACAATGAAATTAGGGGTCTCCACAACATGAGGAACTGTATTAAAGGGTCGCGGCATTAGGAAGGTTGAGAACCACTGGTCTATATGGCTGGTGACCACTGTACAGCACAGCACGGCCTTAGAGCCTGATGATTACAGGAAACTGAAAATACATTTTCAGAGTTGATTGCAGAAGTATGACATGGTGATCAACAAGACTTTTGAACCTAAAGATGGTTTATGTTTAGATAGAATTTTGTAGAAGGAAGGTGGAAAGGAACATATCAATTTTCTGAGGGTGTGCCTGTATTTATCTTTAATGAGTGTTGCTATTGAATCACTGTTTGTATTGAAATCAATACACATATTGATTTCAGAGAGAAAGGGAGAGGGAGACAGAGATAGAAACATTAATGATGAGAGAGAATCATTGATCAGCTGCTTTCTGCACGCCCCCCGCCGGGGATTGAGCCCGCAACCTAGGCATGTGCCCTTGACCAGAATCGAACCTGGTACCCTTCAGTCTGCAGGCCGATGGTTCATCCACTGAGCAAAACCGGCTAGGGCTCACTGTTGTTTTTTAAGGCCTCATTGTTTATATTTAAAAGACTAAAAGACATAATTATCTTATCCAATCAAAATTATCTTAAGCGGCATGTGGGCACAAACAGACTATGATATCAGGGGCATGTGGGCACAAGCTATCATAAAAGTACTTCAGTGTTTTTCTTCAGTGGATACTTACTTTGCATTTTTTCTCCTTTCAGCATGAAATAGTTCCAGAGGAATACTTTAATCATAATCCTGATTCCGAAAGTATTTACAGATTTATTCACCCTTTTTTCAGTGCCACAAAGCTAACAGCTGAATGGGCAATAACAACTTTGGTAAGATAGTTCTTTCAGAAAGCATCTTTTCTGTCCACAGGGTATGATCTTGTTTTTCAAATACTAGTAAAAGTAGGTTCCTGAAATGATCATCAGAACTTTATTAAGGGAAAATTATCAAAGGAAGTAAAATGCACACATTTGAGCTTAATAATCATGATTTAACATATCCTTGCTTTTCTCATCACAACACAGTTGCTTTTAAAGGCAGCAGGAGAGATACTCGGTTTCTTCCTCCACACCTCAGGAGACACATGCGCATGCAGTGCACACACAGGCACACATACAAGGCGTGCTGTGGCATAGGATGGGGGCAATAGCAGACCCTCTGGGCCCCAGGCAGTGACAGGTTCAGTGTAGGTCTAAGCTGAGTTGCAGGCTGGATTCCCCAGGCAGTTGTAATGTGTGTCCTGGTTGAGAACTAGAGCCCTAAATTCTCTGTTCCTTGGATGATGGGTGTTCATCCGTCCTTGCTGTCCTCTTGTGCCTGCCTGTGACGTTGCCAGGATTCTAGTGCCAGTAGGATCTAAAAGGGCTTTGCTAGTTGCCTGCTCAGCTACAGCTGTATAAGAACCATTGTATCATTCATACAGAATTCCTAAGGTAAGATTTTATCAGTTGGAATGAGTGGTCCATTCTAGTGAGAAGGAATGGGGATTGTATCACGCCTCCCTCGGGCTGTCCTAAAGGGGAAAGTCTCCTGCATGGTCTGGAGGGAAGAGTACTTAGGTCAATGCCTCCTCCTTCAGTTAACATTTTGGCGAGGCAGCCTGTGCTTCTGAATAGAGACCCTCAGTGGGCACTGGACCAGACACAGGCCTTTCCATGGAGCTGCCAGCCATCTGGAGTGCTGAGTGCATGCTGGGGAGGGGCAGGAGTGGTGCTCTCTTAGGAAGAGCTAGGTAATACAGGAAGGAGGGCGTCTGGGTGGAAGAGGGTGAGTCCTTTGTAGGCGAGTTAAGTTTGATGCACCTGTGAGACAGCAGAGTGGCAGTCTCTAGTAATGGTTTGAATATATGGAATTAGCATGAATCTGAGCTACAGTAGGAAATTAAGATTAGCTGTTCCAGTGCAGAGGAAGACTATAAATGAAAAGTGTATAGAAGAGAGAATAGTGACAAAGAGTTAGATATTCAGTGGCTATTTATGGAATGAGCAACTTCTTGCAGCATTTTGACCACACTCTCTTGACATCACCTATCTTGCCTTCTTTTTTATTATTTTCTCCTGGTTTTGCCACCACTCTAAGCCATTTCTGGGGACTTCTTCCTTCAGTGCTGATAGTCCTTACAGATCTAAGTGCTGAGGATAGAGGGGAAACGAGGTTGAATAAAGCTTTTTGCTTATGTTCTTATAAGGAAGACATACATATTTCTTTAAATGAGTTTTGTTAAAAAGATGAATATTTCAGGTAGTAGTAAATACCAAGAAGGTAGAGCAGGGTGAAGTGATAAAGTGATGACAGGGGCTTGAAACTCTAGATAGAATGATCAGGAAGAGCCTCTTTAAAAGATAACATTTGAACCCTGACATGACTGAACTGAGACAGATGAGCTCTGGTGTGATAGACAAAGGGGACAAGTGCCAGATTCGGAGACAGGAACGTTTTGTGTATTCGAGGAACAGTGAGGTATGGCCAGTGTGGTCAGAGTGTGGAATGAGGGAAAGAATGTAGGGCATGAGAGCATAGAAGAGCAATGTCCTATCTCACAGGGCTTTGTAGCTTCCAGGTCATGGGAATAAGGTACATTTTCATTTGTTTGATGGGAAACCTTTGGCAGATATTTAGTAGGATAGTGAAGTGCTCTTAATTAAAGAGGCTCTCCTGGCTGCCTTGAGGAGAATAGATAGTAACTGGGAGGCCGAGTGGGGCCGAGAAGCCAGGGATACAGGTGAGAAGTGACAAATAGAAAGTGGTCTGATTACAAGAATTGCTAACAGATTGGAGCAGGTTAACTCAATTGAAGGTTTTGGCCCAGCACCTAGGCAATGGTGTGCCCTTTTTGACATTAGGGAATGCTTGGGGAGTGGAACTGGGTAAAGAGCTCTGATTTGTATGGGCAAAGGCACTAATGACCTTAGCATTGTGCTTTCAGGAGAGTGACAGTGCCAGGCAGACCGCAGCGGGTTAAGGAGAGAATGAGACATGAGAAGCAGCATCGGCATTCACTGTGAGCAAAAGGAGAGGAAGCTTTCTAGGGGTTGGGGGGGTGGGAAGCACGTAAACGCATATTGGGGAGAATCTCTGGCAGACAGGGAGGGTTCTTCAAAAAGAGGTAATTGTGGGAGGTGTTCTTCAGAAGTGGGATGGGATGGACTTCACTGCTAGAAGAGTTTCAGTGAGAAGAGAAATCTCAATTCCACTGTCACAGGAGGGCAAGTGGTATAAATGAACGAGTATTGGCACATACCACGTCTGCGGTAAAGTTACGGGAAGTGGAGAGATTGCCAATGTTGTATAAGTGCCTCTAATTAATCCCATCAAGTAGACAGTTGAACTTTGTAAGGAGGTTCATTCTTAGGATATCTGAGAGCACTGAGTTTTGCGGGGGGAGGGTTGGTGGAAATTTTCACTAAGAATGCATAATGTTCAATAACCATTTGTTTTCTTAAAATACAGTTGAGTTTGAAGAGCAATAGCAAATCAGAGCTGTCAATCTGATAACCTCCGACAGTAAATATACTCTTTAAAATTGGACATTTTTCTTTTTGTAAAATGGCATGCATACTCTTCTATAAAGCACCCTTTGAAATAACAACAAATCCCAGCTTGCCTGTAAAATCTGTTTTTAGCTGTTAACTTCACCCAGTTCTTTGTAGAATAGACATGTAATACATGTGAGGAATTCATGAAACTTCACCAGCTACCTGGTGAGCCAGGGAGACAGAGACTGGCAGCTCTGCTGCCACCTGAAACCAACAGACCGGGTTGTGTAAGACGGAGGTGGAGTTCATAAAATGATGATGGAGATGTGAAGATTAGGGGATATAAAAGGGCTACCCCTTGTGTGCATGTGTGTTTCTTACAAAGGCACTAAGTCCAGGAACACCTGACAGTTGTAGAGACCTGCCTCAGACACACCTGTTTGTACTGCCTGTCCTGCTGCACCACCCAGCAGCCACTGCGGGGCTGTCTTGGTGACCAGGGTTTATCTTCAGCTTGTGCCACAAAAGGACTAGTTAATATGTAAAGAAGGTACAAATGTGATCAGTATTACCAGGGATTTACGTATACAAGTACTATGTAAAATCACCATATAACTACCAGCCAGGTATGAAACAGTGCACGTGGCAGGCACTTGAGTATCTACACTGGGCCCTTTACAAGTGGAAAGGTAGCAACATTTCTTCAGGAAGTCCTTTGCTAAGATGTCCATTCATTCCTGTGACCAAAACTTGGCCTGGAAATTCACATGGCAAAGTAGGCAACAGAAGTATCTCATCTGCAACTGTAACTTGGTCTCTGGCTTTGGCTGGCCAAGCAGTCTCCATAGAACCCAAGAATAAAAGGCATGTCAAAAACAGGTGAAAGTTTAAGTTCTTACTATAGCACTTAAACCCTGAAATAAAACCAAAGACCAGTGTTCTACTTTTGCAGGTTTACTTAGAAAGACTTTTATTTTATGCTGAGATCGACATTTGCCCCACTAACTGGAAAAGAATTATTTTGGGAGCTATTCTTCTTTCCTCCAAGTATTTGCATGATCAGGCTATAAGGAATGCAGACTTCTGCCAAATCATCAAGGGCATTACAGTCAAGGACATGTGAGTTAGCAAGGTTTTTGTGAACTTTCTTACCATTTTCCAATAACTTATATGCGCCAATAAAGTTTACATATTAAGAAATATTTTTAAAGGTTACATTATGCAGAGAACTGAAGTAGGCAAAAATTACATACATTTTTAATCTACATTTGCTGTAACAATTCATATTCCTCCTCATTAACTATTAGGTCTTCATGTATTATTGTTATACTAATCTGTGATAATTTGAAATGTATTTCTCTGGTGGTTATTGGCAACCATTATACAAACTCACTTCTGAGAGCAACAGTACTTTAATTATATTCATGGCTTTCCTAAAGCAGTCTAGCTACCAGTTCCAGTCCTTTCCCCCCTCCCCTCTTTATTATTATTTATTTGTTTCAATAAGACTTTTCATTCAGTATTATTTTGTATTAGTCTCAGGTGTACAGCATGGTGGTTACAAAATCATATACTTTACAAAGTGTTTTCCCCAATATTTTCAGTACAACTTGGCACCATACATAATTATTACAGTGTTATTGACTATATTTTCTATGGTTTAATTTGTATCCCCATGACTATTTTATAACCAATCTGTACTTCTCAGTACCTTCACCTTTTTCACCCAGTCCCCCTCCCTCTTCCCTTCTGGAAGCCATCAGTCTGTTCTCTATAACTATCAGTTTGCTTCTGTTGTATGTTCATTTATATTCTTTAGATTCCACATACAAGTGAAATGATACAGTATTTGTACTTTTCTGATTTAGTTCACTTAGCATAATACCCTGTAGGTCCATCTGTGTTGTCACAAATTGCAAGATTTAATTCTTTTTATGGCTGAGTAATATTCCACCACTTTTTAATCCATTCATCTGTTGATTGGCACTTGGGTTGTTTCCATAGCTTAGCTATTGTAAGTAATGCTGCAATGAACATAGAGGTAAATATATTCGTTGAATTATGTTTTGGGCTTCTTCAGATATATATACCCAAAAGTGGAATTACTGAGTCATAAGGCAGTTCCGTTTTTAATTTCTCAAAGAAATGCCATACTGTTTTCCATAGTGGCTACACCAATCTACATTCCCACCAAAAGTGCATGAAGGTTCCTTTTTCTATACATCCTCACCAACACTTGCTGTTTGTTGATTTATTGACGGTAGCCATTCTGACAGGTGTGAGGTGATGTCTCATTGTGGTTTTAACTTGCATTTCTTGGATGATTAGTGATGTTAAGCATCTTTTCATATGTCTATTGGCCATCTGTATGTCTGCTTTGGAGACACTGAGGTCCCATGTCCATTTTTTAATTGGATTGTTTGTTTATAGATGTTGAGTTGTATAAGTTTTAATTTGTAAAAAATGTTTACAAGATTTTTATTAATTGAATTATTATTTTTTTAGAGAGAGAGGAAGGAAGGGGGAGAGAGAGAGAGAGAGAGAGAGAGAGAGAGAGAGATCAATGTGAGAGTGAAACACTGTTTGGCTGCTTCCTGCACACCCCCTACCAGGGATCAAGCCTGCTACCCTAGCATGAGTTGTGTAAGTTTTTTATAAATTTTGAATATTAATACCTTATATTATTGTCAAATAATGTTTTCCCATCAGTGGGTTGTCTTTTTATTTTGTTGATGATCTTCTTTGCTGTGCTAAAACATTTCAGTTTGATGTACTCCAATTTGTTTATTTTTTCTTTTGTTACACTTGCTTGAGATGCTCTATAAAAAAAATATATTACTAAGGGAAATGTTCCACATTTTACTGCCTAATGTTTTCTTCTAGGAGTTTTATGGTTTTGAATCTTACATTTAAGTTAATAATCAATTTTGAGTTTATACTTGTATATGGTGTAAGAAGGTGGTTTAGTTTCATTTTTTGTATTTATCTGTCCAAATTACCCAACACTATTTATTGAATAGACTGTCTTTATCCCATTATATGACCTTCTATCCTTTGTCAAATATTAATTGACCATGTAGGTGTGGATTTATTTCTGGGCTTTCTGTTCTCTTCCATTTATCTACATGTCTGTTTTTATGCCAGTACCATGCTGTTTTGATTACTATAACCTTGTAGTGTAGTTTGATATCAGATAGTGTGATACCTCCATCCTTGTTCTTTTTTTCTTGAGATTGCTGTAACTATTCGGGGTCTTTTGTGGCTCCATATAAAATTTTGGATTATTGTTCTATTTCTGTAAAATACACCATTCATATCTTGATAGGAATTGCATTGCATCTATAGATTGCTTTGGGTAGTATGTACATTTTAAAGGTGCTCATTCTTCCTATCCATGAACATGGTATATGCTTCCATTTACATGTATCTTCTACAGTTTTTTTCTTCAGTGTCTTATAATTTTCTGAGTACAGGTCTTTTACCTCCTTGGGTAAATTTATTCCTAGGTATTTTGGTGGGTGTTTTTTTTTATGCAATTGCATATGGATTGTTTTTTAGTTTCCCTTTATTTTTAATCTTTATTGTTGAAAGTATTACATATGTCCCCTTTTTCCCCCCTTTGACCTTTCTAGCCCACCCCTGCCCCCCACCCCAAGCCTTCACTACCCTATTGTCTGTGTCCATGGGTTATGCTTATGTACATACACATTCTTTGGTTGATCTCTTCCCACCCACCGACCCTCCCCTACCTTCCCTCTGAGATTCCACTGTCTTTTCCATGCTTCTATGTCTTTGGATCAATTTTGTTCATTGGTTTATTTTGTTCATTAGATCCCACTTATGAGTGAAATCAGTGGTACTTGTCTTTCCCTGACTGGCTTATTTTGCTTAGCATAACGCTCTCCAAGTCCCTCCTTGCTATTTCAAAGGGTAAGAGATCCTTCTCTTTTACTAATAGTTCATTATCTATAATAATAAAAGTGTAATATGCTAATTAGACCAGAAGTCCTTCCGGACGGACGAAGCAGGGCTCCGAGGTGAAGCCCGGGTCCCGGGTGCCTGCCAGCAGCCGGAGGGAAGCCACACAATCCAGTCTCTTCTCACTAGTCCACTCCCAGCCACCCTCCCTTTGTCTAAGCTCAGGGCAAATGGCCACAAAAAGATTGTGTGCTGGCTCTTTAAGAGGGCACCTGGATTTCTAGCAGATCCCTATCTCCTGCCTCTCCCTGGAAGACAGATCCCTGCTTATTTTCACAGCCAGACATTATGTGGGCTCCTCTTCCCAGCTCTGGTGCTCTGGGCTGGGTAGCTTGGCATGGAGCTGAGACCCCTCGCTTTTAAGAAGGGATCTTTGTAGCTGAGATATCCCTATGGATTCTCAGACACTGCATGTGGGTGCTGGGGCCAGCCCTTCCTTCCAGTGTCACGGTGGCTTCTTCATAAATCCTTGGTTATAAGAAATCTGTTCAGGTAGTCTTCAATTGGTTATTCAGGTTGAATGTTCTATATTTTAGTTGAAATTCCAGTTCGGTCCTGGGAAGAAGTGAGTATAACTTTTACCTCCTCTGCCACTCATCCCACCCAGTGTTTTTCTGTTGTTTCCAGTCCACTTTTAAAGGGCATACATCTGGCCTTTAGAATAAGTGTTTGGCCACTGTTATGGTCTTAGGGCCTCTAGACTATTGATGGGGGTGCTTATAGCTTAAATCTGAGTCACACCGTGTATATCTGCATTTACTTGTCTTTTCCTCCTTTATATCTAAAGTCATGTTGTTAAAGAAACCATGGTAGAAAATTAACCCCATGTAAATGTTTCAGGTCCCTGTGCTCGCTCCTGCTTTTTAAAGAGCATTGCACGTGTTTGAAAGTAGGTCTGATGGTTTAGCAAGCTCCGACCTCTCAGGCAGGTGGAGAAGTCTAAGTTCTTCACGTAATAGTGTAAACTGAAGAGTCACCGTTATCTTGCTGGTGGCCATTAGCAAACGACATGACAGCAAATAATAAACTTGAAACAAATGAAAGCACTTTTGGAAGTCGCAGAAGCTAAAGTGACCTTGACACCACTGTCATCAGTCTTCAAACTGGCCCCTTGGAGGAAGTATAACTTGTACTCATGAACACTAGCCCTGCCATGATGGCCACTGAGATTTTCTCAAAACCTGCAACTCAACTGGTGGGGCTCTGGTTCTAGTTATAACATCAGAGAACATGCAGGGAAATGTATGAGTTTGCATAGATGTGAGCCCTAGAGGAAATGGTGGCAGTATCAAGCCACAGACTCCTTGTAAAGAATGCTTTGTGTGTATGAACAGAGAAATACCAGGAGCTATGTTTATGATAGGCTGCTTTTATTTATGATCTTTAGGAATTGGAAGGTATTATAACACTGCTTAGTATACATCGGTGTCAAGCCCCTGCTGCTGACTACTATTTGTAATGTTCTCTTTTGAATCTAAATTGAAAAATTGGTGTCTATCAGCTTTTCCTTAAAACTTTCCAACATCTATGTATCTTTTTAGAATATTATTTCCCTTCAAAAGAATAAGTTAAACTGAGCAGCTGCTATTCAGAAAATTTGTTGTGTTTGTAAACAGTATGCCATTCAGCTGTCTTGCCATTGAAAAACCAAAAAAGTCCATAAAAATCAACCCAAAACAAACAAAAAAAACCCCAGATGATGCATAATCGTTAGACATAAGGCTTTCTTCCATGATTAAGCCTCTATTAGTAGACTGGTAATCCTATGAAGGTACTATATTTCTTCACAATTAACATATATTAGTGAAGGAAATATAAAAAGGATGATAAAGTGCATTTATTCCTGTAGTAAATTAAGTCCTGTTTAGCTGATTATCAAAACATTATCTGATTTACATTTCTATAGGCTTATGGTCATATGAACAGGGAATTAATTTTGGAAGTAGGTTCACTAGGTTTAAAGTTTAACAAGTGAGAAAACCTCATCTCTGCTTATATTCTGACCCCTCTCCATGCAAGAGAACATCAAACTTTTGTTGACCTATCCAATGAATAAAATACTAAAACTTTGAAACTAAGACACCAAATATGTTTAAAAACCCTCTCATGTTTGTTCGGGTAGTTACTATTTTATTAATTAACTCTATCAAAGGATGACTGGAAGTAGTACAGTTTACTAATTTTATTTAACTACTTGGCAAGTGACAGCAGTATGGTCACATAGCAAAGTACTGCTCCCAAATTTCCTTTCCTGCTTTATTGAACTCACCTCTTCTGTTCCGGCAAGGGTCAGGGGATGCCGAATGTCTCGGGATTCCATTCCCAACACGGGAGAATTCTGAGTCTGACTGCCATGCTCTATTAGTACAGCCAAGACGTCTATCTTTAACCTTTCTGCCTTCCAAAGTTTTAAAAGTGCATCCAGTTCTGTCACAGTGACAGTTTCTCACCCCAGTAAGATTAAAGTGAACAGAAGCTCGCATATGCTCTTTGACATTAGCCCCAGGCCCCGGGTGGAGGGGGGGGGGGGGAGGTCCCTTTCCCATCAAATGTGGCACATTTATTTATTTATTTATTTATTTATTTATTTATTTATTTACAGAGGCCCGGTGCATGAAAATTATGCACGGGAAGGGTCCCTAGGCCTGGCCGGTGATCAGGGCCGATCATGTTCCCCCACCTCCCTGCCTCCTCCTTCCCTCACTCCCTCAGCACCCTGCTGCCACCTCTGGTTGCCTGCCATGTTCCACGCCACCCCCTGGTGGTCGGTGCACATCATAGTGAGCGATCAAACTCCTGTTCTTCCGGTCGAACTCCCGAAGGGACACTTTGCATATTAGTCTTTTATAGATAGAGATTTATTAGCAATTAATCCTTGTTGCCTGGAGTTTCCCCCCTCAGAGATAATAGTGGTGGCTCTCAGTGGATTCATTTGTTGCCATGGTGATGTGCCCACTCCTTTGGTTGGCACCTCTCTACTTTAATAAGCCCCTTCCCGTTGTTGGCCTGGTGAAAATGTCTGCAAGTTCCTCAGAGCCTAGAGACAGCACACACCATTCCTTTCTTCTGAACACTAGAGTGAGGCCCTGTGAGTGAGCGAGGAGCATGAATCTACAGCTGCACTAATGGGACTTGGATGAATGAGCCCCAAGTCAGCAGCAAGAGTGAACAAGAGATAGGGGACCTCCTCACCCTTGCCCGAAACTCAAAGTACTAGAGGCAAAAGGGACCACAAATAGCTGTACCTTGTTTGTTGTTTGAACAGTAGTGTATTAGTCCAGCTGGGTAGCCTTTATTTGTTTCAAAGCAAAACTTAACAACCATCTTAGTAGCTTAGAAGGATAATTTTGAAGATAGCCTCGTTGACTAAAATTGTCCCGTGTTGGTTTTGTGTTTTCCTGCTTCCCCAGAAGTGACTTGGAAAGGCAGTATTTATATCTACTCCAATTTCGTCTTAATGTTTCTGCCAGTGTCTATGCCAAATACTATTTTGACCTTCGGTCCGTAGCCAGTGACCACGGACTGCCTGCTGTGTTTGCCCCCCTTCGAAAAGAACGGGCACAGAACCTAGAGGTAAGGCTGTTTTCTGCCAGACGCCAAAACCGCCATCTGTGGATACGTCATATTATGTAGTGACTGGGAAAATTGAAAGTTTTTTAAGCTAACACATTGAATAAGACTTATTAACTCTTTCACATCGTATTGCTGGTATCTTTTATGGTTTATTTGAGAATCCCACATTATAAAAAAAATTTATCTCTTCTGTGACCATGATTCAGAATAATTTAAATCAAATTTAATCTTTGATGGTTTTTTTACACTGTTCTTTTTTCTAACCATACATAAATAATGTCTTACAATTGTATCACTAATCATATCTACAAATATGATCTGCTTACCACTCTTAACTCAGTTTGCAAATTCATGTCTTTTCTGTATATATCACAGTTCAGTACCTTTAGTTTGTTAGACAAAACTAACCTGAGAGAGCGATACTTAGATTGTAGAATATGTATTTCAAACACTTGGTGTAGAAAGTACATGGGTTTTTAATGGAAATTGTAAAGTGCATGGCACAAAGTAATATTTATGACTTAAGACTTTGGTTTGTATGCAACAAAATTATTCACAACTAAAACTGACACTTTTAAAATGGACACTTTCTGTGGTACTTTGGTGGTATTTTAAATAAGATGTGTTTCCACCTCAGTTAATGTGCAAGTGAAGTAGTACCTTATGGTGCTTCAATCATTAGAACTTTCCTACCTTTCAATAAAGTACAGCACATGCCTGTCTCATTAAAATCTGCTTAAAGTATATACTAACTAATAAAGATTGGATAGAATTTAAATAGCTGAGTAAACACTGATTTGCCCAAGTGTATGTTTATTATAGTCAAGGAACCAAGTTTACAGGCAGCAGATGATATTGTTCTTAGGAACCTGTCATGCCTTTGACATCGCTGAGAAAACCCAAACTTTAAAAAATTCTAAGTTCCCCTTTGCGCTGGAAATCTAATCATAGTCCCTAAATGACTTACCTTAGTGAATTAGCATAAAGTAGATCCCAAGGACTTAGCAGTGTAGACCACAGCTTTCCAAAGAGGCAGTAACTATAATCCATGTAAAAAAATGGGACCGTGTGGCTTATTAGTGATGCTTTCTTTGTGAAGGCTGCAACTCCTTTATTTTGAATGTACCTGTGCTCTATCTCATTTCTCCTCCTAGGCCATTTCCAGATATTGTGAAAACAAAAACCTGTGCAGAGTGGCTATAAAAAAATCTAGCAGCTGTGATAATTTTACTGATAAGCAGTATGCCAACGCCATTTTATCTTAAACTAGAAATGAGGGGCTGTGACATGATGAACCCCTCACCTACAATAACTGGAGAAATGTCAGCGCTCCTGCTCAAAAACCAACAAAGCTAGTATTCCTCACCAGGGAGAAATGAGGGGTTGTAATATTATAAGCCCTTTGTCTACAAGGTGAAGAACTAAAAAAATATCACCTTTCCAGCTCAAAAACCAACCAAGTTAGTATTTCCTCTTTTAAGGAAGAAATGAGAGGTTGTAACATCATCAACTTGTCATCTACAAAAATAAGACCTGGAGATAGATATATCACCTTTCCTGCTCAAAAACAAGCAAAGTTGGTATTCTTCTCTTATAAAAAAAAAAATTGAAGGGTTATAACTTCATGAACCCTCATCTGCAAGGGCATGGACTGGAAAAATGTCACCCACCGCTCCTGCTCAAAACCCAGCAAACTTTTTCTCTCTTAAGAAAGAAGTGAGGTATTGTAGCATCATGAACCTCTCATCTACAAAAAGAACTGGAAAAATATTAACTTATTGCTCAAAAACCAGCAAAGCTATTATTTAAATTGATTTTTAGAGAGGGAGGAAGGAAGAGAAAGAGAAACATCGATGTGAGAGTGAAACATCCATCAGCTGTCTCCTGCACGCCCCCTTCCAGGGATCCAGCACACAACCTGGGCATGTGCCCCAACTGGGAATCAAACTTGCAACCCTTCGCTGAACAGAATAACACCCAACTGCTCCTGTTCAAAAACCAACTTACCCACACCAGCCGGGGCTTATCTGCCTTATTTGTACTCTTCATGAAAAAAGGAGGGGCTGTGTCATCATGAGGCCCTCATCTACAAGTACGAGGACTGTAGAAATATTATTTCTCCTCAAAACCCAGAAGGTAAGTGTTTCCTGTCTTGAAAGAGAAATTAGAGTTGTATCATCATTATGAGCCTTTCATCTACAAAAACAAAAACTAGAGAAATATCACCTCTTTTGCTCAAAATCTAGCAGTTATTATTTCCGCTCTTAAGGGAGAAAATAGGGGTTGTAACATTATGAGCCGCTCATCTACAGTTACATGAGAAATATCAGCTATCCTGCTGGAAAATTAAAAAAGAACCCACTGAATAGAAGAACATATTCACCATGATACATTCCAAAATATATAAAGTACTCATACAACTCAAACCAGGAAGACAAACCATCCAATTGAAAAATGGGCTAAGGACCTGAATAGACACTGCTCTAAAAGGGCATACAGGTGGCCAGTAGACAAGAAAAAATGCTCAAGGTCACTAATCATCAGAGAGATGAAAATAAAAATCTCTTAAAAGTGAAATGAATAGTTGTAACATCATGAGCTTCTAATCTAATCTAAAACAAAACAAAAACCCTCAAGATGTATCACCTTTCCTGCCCAAAAACGAGCTGTTAGGGCTCTTATAAAAAATGAAGCGTTAGTATTTTTAATTTCTGTTTTGATTATTTTAATTACTACAGGATATTACATTTGTTTATTTTTTTTTTATTGCTTAAAGTATTACAAAGGGTATTACATATGTGTCCTTTTCTTCCCCCCCGCCCTTGACAGTCCCCCAGCCTCCCCTATCCCCCAGTGTCTTATGTCCATTGGTTATGCTTATATGCATGCATACAAGTCCTTAGGTTGACCTCTTACCCCCCTCCCTCCTGCCCCCCAACCATCCCCGGCCTTCCCACTGCAGTTTGACAATCTGTTTGAGGCAGCTCTGCCTCTGTATCTATTATTGTTCAAAAGTTTATAATGGTCTCTATTCTCCATGAATGAGTGAGATCATGTGGTATTTTTTCTTCATTGACTGGCTTATTTCACTTAGCATAATGCTCTCCAGTTCCATCCATGCCATTGCAAATGGTAAGAGTTCCTTCCTTTTTACAGCAGCATAGTATTCCATCGTGTAGATGTACCACAGTTTTCTAATCCATTCATCTACTGATGGGCACTTAGGCTGTTTCCAGATCTTAGCTATGGTGAATTGTGCTGCTATGAACATAGGGGTGCATATATCCTTTCTGATTGGTGTTTCTGGTTTCTTGGGGGATATATTCCTAGAAGTGGGATCACAGGGTCAAATGGGAGTTCCATTTTCAGTTTTTTAAGGAAACTCCATACTGTCTTCCATAGTGGCTGCACCAGTCTGCATTCCCACCAGCAGTGCACAAGTGTTCCTTTTTCTTCACATCCTCTCCAGCACTTGTCGTTTGCTGATTTATTGATGATAGCCAGTCTGACAGGTGTGAGATGGTACCTCATTGTTGTTTTGATTTGCATCTCTCAGATGATTAGTGACTTTGAGCATGTTTTCATATGTTTCTTGGCTTTCTGAATGTCCTCTTTTGAAAGGTGTCTATCTAGGTCCTTTGCCCATTTTTTTGATTGGATTGTTTAACTTCCTTTTGTTAAGTTGTATGAGTTCCCTATAAATTTTGGAGATTAGGCCCTTATCAGATATGACATTGGCAAATATGTTTTCCCACACAGTGGGTTTTCTCATTGTTTTGTTGATGGTTTCTTTTGCTGTGCAGAAGCTTTTTAATTTTGATGTAGTCCCATTTGTTCATTTTTTCTTTAGTTTCAAGTGCCCTAGGAGCTGTATCAGTGAAGAAATTGCTTCGGCATATGTCTGAGATTTTGTTGCCTTTGGATTCTTCTAGAATTTTTATGGTTTCCTGTTGTACATTTAAGTCCTTTATCCATTTTGAGTTTATTTTTGTGTATGGTGTAAGTTGGTGGTCTAGTTTCATTTTCTTGCATATATCTGTCCAATTTTCCCAACACCATTTATTGAAGAGACTATCTTGGCTCCATTGTATGTTCTTGCCTCCTTTGTCAAATATTAATTGAGCATATTGGTTCGGGCCGATTTCTGAGCTCTCTATTCTATTCCATTGATCTATATGCCTGTTCTTGTGCCAGTACCAGGCAGTTTTGAGGACAGTGGCTTTGTAATACATCTTGATATCTGGTATTGAGATCCCACCTACTTGGTTCTTTTTCAGGATTGCTGCAGCTATTCGGGGTCTTTTTTTATTCCAGATGAATTTTTGGAGAGTTCGTTCTAGATCTGTGAAGTATGCCGTTGGTATTTTAATGGGAAGTGCGTTGAATTTATAGATTGCTTTGGGTAGTATGCACATTTTAATGATGTTGATTCTACCAATCCATGAACATGGTATGTTCTTCCATCTTTTTATGTCTTCCTCTATATCTTTTTTCAATGTCCTGTAGTTTTCTGAGTAGAGTTCTTTTACCTCTTTAGTTAAGTTTATTCCTAGGTAGCTTAATTTTTTTGGTGCGATGGTAAATGGGATTGTTTTTATAATCTCTCTTTCTGAAAGTTCACTATTGGTGTATAGAAATGCCTCAGATTTCTTGGGGTTAATTTTGTATCCTGCTACATTGCCAAATTCATGTATTAAGTCTAGTAGTTTTTTGATGGTGTCTCTAGGGTTTTGTATGTATAATATCATGTCGCCTGCAAATAAGGACAGTTTTACTTCCTCTTTTCCAATTTGGATGCCTTTTATTTCTTCTTCTTGCCTAATTGCAATGGCTAACACTTCCAGTACTATGTTGAACAGGAGTGGTGAGAGGGGGCATCCCTGTCTTGTTCCTGATCTTAGGGGAAATGGTGTTAGTTTTTGTCCATTGAGTATGATGTTGGCTGTGGGCCTGTCATATATGTCTTTTATTATGTTGAGGTATGATCCTTCTACTCCCACCTTACTGAGAGTTTTTATCAAAAATGGGTGTTGAATTTTGTCAAACACTTTTTCTGCATCAATTGATATGACCATGTGGTTTTTTTCTTTCAATTTGTTTATGTGATGTATCACGTTTATTGATTTGCGGATATTGTACCATCCTTGCATCCCTGGGATAAATCCTACTTGGTCATGGTGTATGATCTTTCTGATATACTGCTGGATCCGATTTGCTAAGATTTTGTTGAGGATTTTGGCATCTATGTTCATGAGGGATATTGGCCTGTAATTCTCTTTCATTGTGTTGTCTTTACCTGGTTTTGGTATTAGGGTGATGCTGGCTTCATAGAATGAGCTTGGAAGTGTTCCTTCCTCTTGAATTTTTTGTAGTAGTCTGAGGAGGATAGGTTTTAGTTCTTCCTTGAATGTTTGGTAAAACTCCCCTGTGAAGCTGTCTGGTCCTGGGCTTTTGTTTGATGGAAGCTTTTTGATGACTGCTTCAATTTATTCCATATTTATTGGCCTGTTGAGATTTTTAGATTCTTCCTGTTTGGAATGTTGTATTTTTCTAGGAATTTGTCCATTTCCTCCAGGTTGTCTACATTTGTTTATTTTTGCTTTCATTTTTGGAGAAAAGGGAAATTATCTTTTAAATTTTTTTTAAAAGTTCTAGTTAGCCTACATGACATTCTCTTTTGAGCATTGGAACTCTCATTTAGAAAGCTTAAAGTATATTTCTATGTACTAAAGTTTCAAATGCTTTAATGTTTACTTTGATATTGGGGGGGGGGGAGGAAGCGATTTTTTTGACATTAGAAAATTTCTTAAATATTTTTTGTTGTTTCCTAAAGCAAAATGGATACTCTTTTTTTTCCCATTATTCATTGTTTCCTTTCCTCCTGAACTTTCTGGACATTGTTGCTATATATGAATTATTTTAAATATGAGCTTTAATTTCAGCTTTTCAGCCTTTGAAGATTTCTCTTTTTTTTTCATTGATGTTAGAGAGAGAGGAAGGGAGGCAGAGAGAGAGAACGAAACATAGATGTGAGAGAGATAACACCTGTCGTTTGCTTCCTGTACAGTCCCTGAGACCCGGGATCAAGACCGCAATCAGGAATCAAACCCATGACCCCTCAGTGCATGGGAACTAAGCCACCCAGGCAGGGTGAAGATTTCTCTTTAAAATAAATAACTATTCTCATAAAAATCATATATCCTATAGTTTTTAGCCTTTGAAAATTAATATGTAACTGGTCTAAAAACTGCCATAATGAACTAGTAAAATGGAGATTTCTGGTGGTACAGAAGCTACATGAAAGTAGTTGCTGTTCTATTTTTCTTTCCAGGAACTATCTTGCTAGCAGGTAGCTTTTGCTAATTGGTACTTCCAAGTGCTTATCTATATATTAGAGGCCCGATGCACAAAGATTCGTGTAAGAATGGGCCTTCCTTCCCCTGGCTGCCAGAACTACCTTTGCTCTGGCCAGAGCTGCCTTTCCACCTTCACTCCAGCCCAGAGGCCTGGAGTGGCTGGGGTGGTGCGGAACGCCTGCGTCATTGTCATGGTGACAACACAAGCGTCCCGCCCTGCCCCTAGCCCAGGGGTGGGCAAACTTTTTGACTCGAGGGCCACAATGGGTTCTTAAACTTGACCGGAGGGCCGGAACAAAAGCATGGATGGAGTGTTTGTGTGAACTAATATAAATTCAAAGTAAACACCATTACATGAAAGGGTACGGTCTTTTCTTTTTTTAGTTTTATTCATTTCAAACAGGCTGGATCCGGCCCGCGGGCCGTAGTTTGCCCACGGCTGCCCTAGCCGCTCCATGCCTGTGTATGCAAATTAACCTGCCATCTTTGTTGGGTTACTTTGCATACTCACTCCTGATTGGCTGATGGGCGTTGGAAGATACAGTCAATTTGCATCTTTCTCTTTTATTAGTATAGCTATAAAAGCCTAAGTGACCGTTACAAACAAACAACCGAAACAACCTGTCAACCAGTCGCTATGATGCTCACTGACCACCAGGGGGCAGATGCTCAATGCAGGAGCTGCCCCCTGGTGGTCAGTGCACTCCCACAGCCAACCTTGTGCAGTCCCCCTGCCAGCCAGCTTCCCATGATCCCGCCGCCCAGCTGGTCCCTCCCCGT